TGAAAGTATTTTTGGTTATTTACATGTGTGATCTGAGTGTGTTTACATATAAAAAAGCAAAAATTTAATTTAAATTTACCTCCAAAATTTGGAGGTTATGTTGAAGTTGACAGAAGTTACCATTTTTTATCAAGGCACATAAATACAGGTAGAAGCCAAAATGACGTTGCTCTCATGAGAACCAAACCTTTAAACTTCAACTTGATTTTATTTNATATATGTACTTGAGTTTTGCTAGCAATTGCACAAATTAAACCGCTCTTTACGCACTGCAATGGATTTATTTTCTATCAACGTATAGAACAAAAACATGCAAGTAAACGAAAACAATTAAAATGTGTTGAAACAATTTCTGTGTTCCGACCTGCTAAATAAATTTGGAAACCTGGCGATTTGGCTGTGGGTCTGGAAACTCCCGCTGGTATTTTTCATTCATCCGTCTATTTCCTTATTTTATTGTGAAGCGAATTAATGCAATAATTTAGAAATCCACGTACTTCTGCAAACATGGAATTGGACGTAGTTGCTGACGTTGTGTTTGTTATCGAAGCCACCGCTGTGAACGGTGCGTACATGAACGAGCTAAAGAGCAATTACATTGTGCCCACTATTGAACATTTCACGAAAGGCTGGCAAGTGGACGATGGTGAATATCTCATCTCCGAGAGACATGCTACCCAATATGGTATAGTGATTTACCGCACTGCAGCGAGTTTATTAGATCCAGCTGTGTCCACATATGGGCCGTTTGTATGGCCCAAACAGGTATTGGAGACTATTGAGCAGCTACCACTGGTTGGGGGCGGTATGGATTCATGTGCAAATATGAGTGAAGGGCTAGCTACGGCTCACTGCTGCTTCGAAGATATGAAGGAGCGGCGTTCGCGATTGATGATCGATGCTTTGAATGTGCAACGTCATTGCATACTGATTTGCAACAGCCCTCCATATTCCACACCCGTAATGGAATGTTGGAAACACATGGGCAAAACTGTAGAACAACTGGCTGCTTTGTTTCATGAGCGAAAAATTAATTTCTCTATTATAGCGCCACGTAAAATGCCCGTGTTGTTCAAGTTATTTATGAAGGCAGATGGCGATCAGCCGGTAGCAGCTAAAAATTACGCCAAAAATATCAGGCATTTAGTGCTTCTAAAAGGCTATCATTTGAAGGAGCGTCCACCAAGCCCGAATGCGAACACAGTGAATATTGGAGGAGGCGGAGTTATGCCTAATCAAATGATTGGACCAGTTGGCGCTGGTGGAAATCCGCAGCTGCAACAACAACAGCAGCAACAAGGTGGACCCATGCAAATCGATAACCAGCAAGGTTCTGGTCAGGTAACGCAAGGTCCACCACATTCGGTTGGTGGCATGAATCCAGGCCAACAGCAACAACCTCAACAAGGTCCTAGTGGACCACCGGGTTTAACACCACAACAGCTAATGCAACAGCAGCAGCAACAACAGCAACAACAGCAGCAACAACAACAGTTTGTTAACCAAAATCCCAATCAAAATCCGAACTTCCAGCCAAATGTTAATATCAATCNCCGGGTTTAACACCACAACAGCTAATGCAACAGCAGCAGCAACAACAGCAGCAACAACAACAGTTTGTTAACCAAAATCCCAATCAAAATCCGAACTTCCAGCCAAATGTTAATATCAATTCGCAAAATCGGTGGTTATTCCAAGCAAACCAACAGCAACAACCAGGTCAGCCACGCCCACCATTCATGGGTGGATCGGGGGGTTTACCGCCAGGTATGGGACCCGGTGGGCCCATGGGTGGCCCTCAACAAGGTCCAATGGGTGGGCCTGGCCAAAATCCGAATTCGGCACTCATTTCACAGTTAAGTGCTCCGCCAAATCAGACTGTTAATCCGTTATTGGCACAACAACAACAGCAAATGCGCATTCAAATGATCAATCAGCATCAACAGCAACAGTTGCAACAAATGCAACAGCAACAGTTGCAGCAGCAGCAACAACAACAGCAAAACCAAGCCCAGCAGCAACAACAGCAGCAGCAGCAGCAGCAACAAGCTATGGGTAATGTTGGCGGAGGTCAGGGACCTAACCAAAACCCACCTGGCGCAGGCCCAGGTCCCGCTAACATGCAACAGCAAGGCCCATCCACATCACAAAACTCCGGTGGTAATGATCCTTCTCAGCATCCCAGAGATCGTGAGAAGATTTGGTCTGGCGTACTTGAGTGGAATGAGAAAACCAAACCAGATCAACAAAAGGTGACACGTACCCTGCAATGCAGCGTAGCTACAAATATAAAAGATGGCGAAGCAGAGATCAAGGCGGAAAATTGGCCACCGAAATTGCTTATGCAGCTTATGCCCAAACATCTTGTTGGAAATATTGGCGGGCAGTTCCTAAAGGAATCTAAAATGGTGGTTTTTAGACCAACGCCCTGTGAGGCGCTTGATACACTTTCGAAAGTAATGGCGACTGGTTTCGCTGGATGTGTACACTTTACCAATCCCAATGGACCGGCTTGTGATATCAAGGTTCTAATTCTACTATACACCCAAGAGAAGAATGCCTTTCTCGGTTTTATACCCAACAATCAGACTATGTTTGTAGAGCGACTAAGAAAGGTAATACAACAAAAGCAAATGGGCCATGGCCAACAACAGCAACAGCAGCAGCAACAACAACAGCAGCAGCATCAACAGCAGCAACAACAACAGCACCAACAACAGCAAATGCAAAATGCCATGAGTAAGTGGGCTATTCATATCGGGTTATTTTCACATTATAACTACTATTTTTTGTATAGATCAAATGCAAAATACTTTGCCTCAGAGTGTGATGGCGCAGCAGCAACAGCAGCAGAAACCTACACCCATGGATGTGCAACATCAAATGGAACAGCAGCAGCAGCAGCAACAACAACAGCACCAACAACAGCAAATGCAAAATGCCATGAGTAAGTGGGCTATTCATATCGGGTTATTTTCACATTATAACTACTATTTTTTGTATAGATCAAATGCAAAATACTTTGCCTCAGAGTGTGATGGCGCAGCAGCAACAGCAGCAGAAACCTACACCCATGGATGTGCAACATCAAATGGAACAGCAGCAGCAGCAGCAACAGCAACAACAGCAGCAAAATTACAATCAATATGCCCAACAAATGAATATGCAAATGGGTGGCCCCGGCGGTGGACCAGGTGGTCCCATAAGCCAGGGTGGGGGCCCACCACCTGGTGTCATCGGCATGCAGCTCGCTGATCAGATGGGTGGGGGCGGTCCAATGCAACATCAGCAGCAAATGACTTTGTTGCAGCAGCAACAACAACAGCAGCAGCAGCAACAGCAACGCATGCCAATGATGGGTGGGCCAAACGCGCAGATGCAGCAAGTCTCACCACACGCTGCCGCCGCTGCTGCAGCGGCTGCTGCGGCCATGCAACAACAGCAGCAGCAACAGCAGCAACAACGTATGGTGCGGCCAATGATGAGCAATAATCCAGGCTTGCGGTTGCTCCTGCAACAACAGTCTGCGCCTGCGAATCAATTTCGGCCACAAATGGGCGGTGGTGGGGGGCCAGGCGGGCCAGGTGGGCCGGTCGGAGGGCAAATGGGAGGCGGACCACCAAATCAGATGGGGGGCGGCGGCCCCGGTGGAGGTGTGCCAATGGGCGCCAACCGCCCATATGATGAAAGCAATTTTGATTTTATGTAAGTTGACGAGAAAGTTTCGATAAAAATGTATGTCTTTTTGTTTACGTATATGTCGATGTTAATGTGCTGTAAGCGGCGGCTTCTACATTTTAATAGTTGCTTAAAAATTGAAAATGTGTTGCATTTTATTTAATTAAAACCTAAAGCAAAGTAGGAACAATGTGTTACTAAGTAGACAGCGGATTTTTATGGAAAAAAAATAAGATTAAAAATATGAACCATATAACTAAGCAAATTTTATTGCAAATTTATAATAATAATAATTTTGCTTATAGTAACATATGTGGCATTTATTTTTTAGCTTTATTAAAAAAAAATCGCNATGTGTTGCATTTTATTTAATTAAAACCTAAAGCAAAGTAGGAACAATGTTACTAAGTAGACAGCGGATTTTTATGGAAAAAAATAAGATTAAAAATATGAACCATATAACTAAGCAAATTTTATTGCAAATTTATAAATTTTGCTTATAGTAACATATGTGGCATTTATTTTTTAGCTTTATTAAAAAAATCATTATCTAATAATAAGGAATATGAAAATGTTAGGGACAAGTAAAAAGACGCAAGGACACAATACTCTTTCACTTCAAATACTCAAAACTTCGAAATAAAAATACACAGTATGTATTAGGGAATCACTAATTCATAAATCTGTGCAGTCTTGCACCAAACACGTTCTTATGTGATGAAATGTACTCTGGCATGGACTACATACCGACACAAAAAGCTAACAAATGTCAAAGCGCACATTTGATTCTTGGCTACCATGCCAACGGTGCACCACAATCAATGGAAAGTAAACAAACTGGACATTTAAGATGACGAATGAAAGATACGAACGAGCACAGTCGGTAACAAATGAACAGATCGAAAGGGCCGAAAATAAGTGTGCAGCCAGCAGAAATCGATATATCCAAGTGGACTTTCGAAAGCATATCAAAGGTCGGACATAGTGGCCTGGTTCTTTTTGGGTCAACCGATAGCGCGGAAAAATGGCACAACGGCCACAAGCATGTTGATGTGCTGTATAAATAGTGAAAATTCTTCGAAATACCAAAGGAAAGTGCCAAGCCGAGTGGAGGCCTAGAGCAGTGTTGATGAGTANATATCCAAGTGGACTTTCGAAAGCATATCAAAGGTCGGACATAGTGGCCTTGTTCTTTTGGGGTCAACCGATAGCGCGGAAAAATGGCATAACGGCCACAAGCATGTTGATGTGCTGTAAATAGTGAAAATTCTTCGAAATACCAAAGGAAAGTGCCAAGCCGAGTGGAGGCCTAGAGCAGTGTTGATGAGTTAGTGTGCATACCAATGCATGGACGCGCTGCTGAACGCTCTACGCTGGCGGAAGAACATCTGCGACTGTTAGCTGAACTGGATTCTCTAGCCTTAAGCGATAGCTGCTGTGAGATTTGTCATTGCGATTGCTATAGCTCACATCGCAGCAGCTTGGATTCCGATAGACGCATTTGCGTAGAGGCATACGAAAAAATTGATGCCAACCCAGTACCACGAAGTGTTGATAATAATGAAAAGCCAGAAAAATCAAAATACGCTGCAGTGAAACTGGGACCGTTATCAGTGCCACAACTCTTTCCCACTGTAGCTACGCCTTCCACATCCATTGGCCACAATATTAGTAATAAGCGGTCATCCCGTAAATCAAAAGGCACACGAAAGAAAAACGCCCACGAGATAACTGCATCAAATAGTAATTCAACTAAGCCTTCCAGTACACAAGCCATAACTAGCGTTAACCCAAAATCCAAAAGCGCCAAAAACACTCCGACACATTCAAGGCGCACAAGTCCAAGTGTCGCCGACGCCTGTGGCAAAAGCGCTAAAGCAAACCGCAGCACTTCCGTGGCTGCTAAGCGCTCCAAAAGTGTCAGCAGTCTGCGTAGCCGCAGTCCCTCACCGTTGACTGCACCATTGACGCGCAACGTCGCAAAGCGCGCAACATACTACACGCGCGATTGTACAATTTTGCAAGACCTGCTAAGCACCCTCAATGACGATGAGCACAACGATGCTACTGCATCACTGCAAGTTAGCGGAAGGAGTGCTCTAAAGCAAACAAATGCAATTGCTGACGCGGATCCATCTGGCACCACACAATCCCACACACTGCCGCGTTGCGCTATCAAGTCAAAGGACAAAACAGAATCAAATGATGGGGCGCACACCTCTCTAACTTCACAGAAGCTTTGCGCTTCCATGGCCAGCCTCTGCTTGGCGCCTACAGTGCGCGTGGCTTATCAACAAGTGCCCGCACACGACAAACGTATACTCAACCGCATGGCGCACAAGCGCAGTGAGCGCGCCATCGCCAAGGAGAACGCCTGGTTGGCGCGCAAGTACTGGGAAAATGAGCGCTACGAACGCGAGCTCTTCAAATGTGCCCAGATGGAGGAATACAAGCGCGCCATACGTGACAAGCAATTCCAAGATTATCTACTGACCAAAGCACGCCTAAACGAAATTGCACAACGTGACCTGACAGAGCTGCGGCGCTTGCGCGAAGCTCTGCATCAAAAGGAGATCAGCACCAAGCGACGTCTTGACGCGTTGCGAGTTGAACGCGGCATAGCGGCGTGCCAGCGACGCTGCGAGGAGTTGCGTCGCGCGGAAGCAGTCGCTGTGCAACAGGAGGAGCAACAAATTGATGAGAAGTTGCGTAAGCAGGAGTCATGCGCGCGTCTGAGCGAACGCTTACAGCGCGCCGAGCAGATACGCTCCGAAATGCTAGATAGCTATGTACGTCGCCTGCGCTACGATAATAACATGGAAGAGCTGCTGCATGAAGAGCACTGGCGGGAGGCGCAGCAGCAGGAGCGACAGCGGTTGGCGCAGCTAGAGGAGCATATACAGCAGAAAAGTGACCAGTCGCAGCGTTTTATCGAAGCGCGTCAACGGCGGCAAGAGGCTATTGCTAAAACGGCAAAAATTTCCGCCAGCCTACGGGAATTGGTGCGCAACTCAGTGACTCCTGAAGGTGGCGCGGCTGCGGATGTCGGCGGGGTGGGCGATGCTGTGAGCATAGGAAATACCATGCCCTTAAGTAAAGTGCTTTTAGATATACCATTCTCCAAGCTGTCAATGCTGCCGTAATTGTTTTTCGTTGAAATATATGTATGCACATAAGTATGTTACAAATAACTAATAGATACACTTTTTTACTGTAAAGATTAAACAGCGTCGGGGAGAACAAAACGCCTTGGGAACCCTCTTCTGCGTGGTCCCGGGTTTGATTCAACGCCGGCGGGGACTAGAATTGTGATAAGAGTTCGAACCAATTGGTACACTCTTTACTTCAAGAAGCCTATGAACCAAAATACCTTAAGGCTTGAACTAATAATTCAAAGTATTTCAAATAAATTTCGTGAAAACCATTTATTTTCAAATACTTTACAGCTTCGGCTACAAGAGCGAAACGAACTTATCCAAAAGAATTTACTCACAAACGGACTGTGAACATTTAGTGACGCGTATTTGGTTGCTTAAATATTAAGCATTACATACAAAGCTATATAAAGACATACATAATTCTAATATGACATTAATGCATAAAACAAATTTATGAAAATTATTCGAGTTTTACCATAGCGAATTCTGACGCATTTTGTGTAAAAAAAAACTTGAAAAACTAAAATAAAATGATGGAATTCTATTAAAATTACCATCCAAACAATTATCGGCCGAAATGCGTCTATGCCGTTTCTACAAATACTTCATTTCGACTTCTATTTTACTTTCCTGATAATGAGCTTATTGTTTAAAATCGTTTTAGTTGGTTTGCCAATGGCTGTTGTCACATTTCCCATATTGCTAACCATTTTCGCGTTTGGTGCTAAGGTTGGCAATTTAATACTAGCATTTATGTTCGCTGCTGTTGCTCCTGTGGCATATGCGGCAGTCTCTTTGCCGTTGACTATTTTCACCCTCATGCCTTTGGACTGTAGTTTCTGAAGCAGCTCCATGGTTTTGTTGTGTTGTCCTGTGTTGGCCGTTATAGCGACTGGCGGATGCGTGCGTTTCACCTGCAATCCGCGTGTTTGTAACTTATTCAGTATATCATTGGTCTGCTGGTGAGTATCAACGCCCGCTTTCGCAGCGACAATGGCAGCAGGATTACATACTTTATTACTTGATAAGGGAGCTAGCGCGGGTGGTATCAATTGGGTTGAGTCTGCATACATCGCAGGCTGCGCTGCTGCAGTGGTGGTGACGGAAACGGTACGTTGCTGTGGTATAGCAGCCGCTGGCATTGTTTTATTGATTGCATTGGGTGCCGTTTTTATGCCATTTGAATTAACTTTTGAGTAGGTTATAGGATTTTTGACTAGCACTTGATTTTTAGTGCCATTTATTTGTGTTTGATTTACTATCGGATTAGGCACCAAATTTTTGTTATACGTTTGTGCACTTGTTTGAGGTGCAGGCATTGTTGTCCTAATTTTCGATGCAACATTTGCTTTTGAATTGGTACCAGCCACAACCGAAGATAGGCTGTTCGGTTTCTTCTCCAATTTGATTGTTGCTGTTTGTGCTATTGTTTTGGCAACAATGTTACGTGCAACTGTCGGGCCCACTGTCGTCTTTGGCACATCAGAATTTCGCTTGACAGCTAGTTTCTGTTGATCTGGTTGCACATTCGCCTGTTCCATGGGTATATTTATAGTTTTACGTCGTTTACTAAGTACTTCCGAATCCGTATTTTGACAATTTTCGCGATTTTGCGTTTTGAGTTTCTTATTTCCCATTGTGTTCGTGCATAATTTTTCATTTATTACATACTTTACATTCACCGCGTCATTAAACTGCACTTGCTTAGGCGCCAACTCCAGCTTTCTCTTTGCAGCCGGATTTAGTAAACGCACAGATGGTTGATTGGTGGACTGTTGGATTTTTACTGGCAAGATTGGATTTTTCACCACTGCCGTTGGGTTGAATGCTTTGTTTGGAAAACGCTTTACCACAACGCCGCTGGCTTTTCCTTTAGTTGCAGTTTCTTTGAATTGCACATACGGCCCCACAGCCTCCACTAGCTCCTTATATTCCATTGGCTTGTTATTACTAGATGCCGGCAATGAAGCGGCCGGTTGAGGGCTACCTACATCAGACTGAGTACCTGCAATATCTGTATACCAACGTGGATCTAGTAACTCTTCCTCTATTTTTATCAAGTCCAAATAGGCATCATCACCACCGTCATTTGCAGTCTCCGAGCTAATCGCAGGTTCAGTAGTGGCCAAGTGTACATCGGCAGGATTATACAATGAATACTGAAAACAACATTTATAAATAAGTATATACAGATCATAAGCACCGCCCGCTGCCACAGCACTCACTGTTTTATCTTTGCCAGTCCTAGTAACTTGCGCTGCTCCAAATTTTAAACCAATTACTTCTTCCTCAAAAAGGCGCTGGCCACAAGAGGTAGTCGCTAGATGTACTCGAAACTCCGGCACCTCCACAAATTCTGTTTGACACTGATTGCAGATTAAAAATGTCCGGAAGGTCTCGTCCAGCAGCACTTCACCAAAACGTATGCAACGCAGCATTGCGTGTTGCAAGTTTGCGCGGTTTTTCAATTGATTATAATTAGCGTGCGAGTATTATATTTTTTGTTGTAATTTATATTTGCTCTCAGTTTATTTGGACTTTTTTGTTTAATAAACAAACCAATTCTGTCAATTCTGATTGTTGTGTGAAATTTAGATCGGCAAAAGGTAAAGTCGATATAACAGTGGCGTTGAAGAGGAAACATGTTTCTGCAACAAATGTTGCTTATTATCGAATTATTTTCCTGCCAGTTTGAGCAGCACTGTTGTCCAGAGAACGTATAATTTTGGCCCCAAAGAAAATTTGTCAGCCACTGTATTTTAAGTTTTTGCGGTCGTAATGCATGCAACCCTGCATTTTTCTCATGCTTACCCTGGCAACCCTGGTGGCTGGGCAATTCATCCACTGTATACATACAGAAGGCGCAAGAGCGATTTTAGCTATGGCCACCGACGCATTAAAGTGAATTGAATTGTGCTAAAGATTTGTGTTTTGTTTATTAGTTGTTTTAAATTAAATAATATTTTCCAATTATCCCTAATTTTTGGTGAGTTTAAAGTGCAATTAAAACTTTTAAGAAGCAATTTACCCGTAAATACTTTGCTAAATAGTGAAAAATTGNATTTGTGTTTTGTTTATTAGTTGTTTTAAATTAAATAATATTTTCCAATTATCCCTAATTTTTGGTGAGTTTAAAGTGCAATTAAAGCTTTTAAGAAGCAATTTACCCGTAAATACTTTGCTAAATAGTGAAAAATTTTGTAGCAAAACCAGTTGAAAAGTGCAGGAAATTGGGGCTCATTACCCGTTCTCCTATTTTCTTTGCGCTGCTTGGACTGGGCGCTGTAGCAATACGTATGTATATAGGCGTGCATCGTATATATGTGTTGTGTATGTGTATGCGCGCCAGCAGTGAGTTTTTTGTTGTATTTATATGTTGTATGCGTTTTTTTGTTATTGTAAAACGCAAACAGGTTTTGCTGGAATACGCTACTCTGACGCTTCGGACAAACGTAGAAAACATAAAAGACAAAAACAACAATAGCAATCAAACATGGAGTGTAGCAACTGCAACAAAAATAGCAGCAACAAGCATAGTAAATATGTACATATATACGTACATGTATATGCATAAAATAAGCAAGAAGAAAACAAGAAATAACGTCAACAACACCGTGGCGACGTCGTTTTTATTGACGACAACTGCGGCGTCGTCGCCATCGTCAGCTTGTTTGGTAGACGTTGTTTGCGCTGGTGTTACTTTGTGTGGACATTTTGATCAGCGGGGGGAACGTGATGTGAAGTGACAAGCTGAAGAATAAAATAAAAGTCGTCACAAGTGGGGCCACAGGTGAATTAGAGTGGATTGGATTAAGGCGGGGACCCACACGCTCTTCTCGTTCGATTGCTCGTATGAGATCGGTGCTTGCTCGTAGCTTTTAGTATCTACATAGCCAGCAGCTAGCTGCCAGCTTGACTGGCCCACTCGGTATGCTGGCCATTGAACACCAGCAGCAGCCACAGAAGTACTAGCTACTAGCATAGAATAGAAATAGAGTTGAAGTATAAAATATACATTAATAAAACGATCGAACACTGTAGCAGCAAAGACAAAAGGTCTAGCAGGAGCCAAGTTTGTTAGCTTGAATGGTGGCGGTAGAGTGTTGAGCGATATCTACTCTTGGCGCAGTAATATTCGAGATCTTAAAAGTAGCAATAGACCATATAAGTAAGTCTGTAGCCTGTACGAACTGGTGACTGGCGTTTTTCGTATTTTTTTGCTTGCGATCACATAATAGCTGAGATTGCCATTTTTTCCGTTTCAAGGGTAGCTGAGACATTTTGTCTGCCATAGTACGTACAATTTATGTATGTAGGTACATAGTTCTCCATAAAAGTAAGTGCCAACTTGTACAAGCAAAAAGCAACACTATAATACAAGTGGCACTAACTCAAAAGATGTTGATCGAAAATTGTATATGCCACTTGCTATTATTGATATAAAGAATATCATAGGAGTAGATAGCTATGGTCTGGAGATAGTGGTAGCTGCTGTATCGTTGAATCATTTATTGGACGTGCAAGTAGGTGTAATCAAATAATATGAGTCACAAGCACCGGAAGGACACTGTAAGTGTTACATAGTAGATCATACTTGCTGTGAATCAGTTTATCTGCCTGTTGTCACGGGCAATTTTAACTTTTTATGTTATAGTATTTATGTAAATATGTAATTATGTACATAGTATGTGGGTACATGTATATACGCCGCCCTCAAGTTCCCTAATAAGGTGATTATCTGCTCCAATTGTTTAACAATCGCGTTGCTCTTTGTATTGTAATTATACCCGAGCGCACTTGTGCACCCGTCTGTGTACACGATAACTCGTGTAAAAACTAAGATATCTTAACGAAACTTGGTACGTGTACTTCTTTCGAACGTAGAACGGATGGTATTGAAAATGGGCAAAATCGGACAATAACAACGCCTACCTCCCAGATAACGATAGTTTCCAGAAATACGAAAATGCGATATGCGAAGCTTATTCACTCAAAATTGATATTTAAAATGATTTTTAGACGAAGAATATTAGTATTATAAATTCTTGAAAAATGGGCTTAGCCACGCCCACTTATGATTACATGTGTTTATGTTGATAACCGCTCCACCAATTTCTCCCAAACTTGGCAAAGTTGTTGGCGTTGGTACAACATGCCAAATAGCTGAAAATTTGTAAAATCGGATAATAACCACGCCCACATCCCATACAACGGTAATTTGGACAAATACGAAATCTTCGATAAATTAGTAAATACTGAAGCTTATTTATTCAAAATTAATGCTTGTAATAATAGCTAGAAATACGTTTATGATAAAATTTTCGAAAATGGGCGTGGTACCGCCCACTTACGATCACATAATGACCACATAATGTTCGGCTTCGCCCGAACTTAGATTTATCAAGTAGCGGATGTGCGTCAAAAAAAGCACGAGGTTTTGCAACATGTACATATATACACACATATGTATGTATTCATATGTATATAAATTTGTTAATTTTATGTTTTACGCAGAAAGTTCCGCCCTTCCGACAACACAGAATTGGAGCATTTTGCGTAGTAAGGGTTATAATACCTAAGCGCGACCGAAGGCCGCCTACGCAGAAAGAAGTTCCTCCCCACTTCTCCGGCAACACAGAAAGGAGAATTCTGCGTATTAAGGGTAATAATCACTAAGCGTGGCCAGAGGCCGCCTACGCAGAAATAAGTCCCGCCCGTGTTTACTATGCCCTTATCCTCTTTACCCCTAAAATCCGAGGTCTTTAAATTAAAGTTTGCTCGAAAAAATAGATAACCTCGGAGCCATGGTAATTTTCTTTGTAGTTCCAATTTAAAAAAAAAAAGTTATTCGCGAATTTCGAAAATCACCTTTAATCCACGGTAATTTTTTTGTCGTTGATTTACGGCTCTTAGAAATTACCGTGGATCTACCGCAACTTGTTACCGTGGATGTACAGTAAAAGTTACATTGGCGCGTGTTTAACGACACTGCCTATGTATAAACGCCGCCCTCAAGTTCCCCAATAAGATGTTTCTCTGCTCCAATTGTTTCAACTATCGCATTGCTCTTTGTATTGTAATTTTGTATTAGCATTTTTATCAAGTAGCGGATGTGCGAATGTGTACTAAAGCATATCTCTCTATGTAGGAGCTCAAATATAATTGTAAACTACGAATTCGGATCTGGAAATTTATATACATATGTATATATGTATGTACATAAATATGTATTTATGGACGCTTAAATTTACATGTGTATGTATGTACATACATATGTACATATTTCATTCATGGTTTTGGGAAGTAGCGCAGCACAGCATCTTGTCGTTAGTACCTTATCGGGTCAGGGTGTTATTATGTGGGCGATGGCTGTGAATAATTATAATATTCTTATATGTATCTGGTTTAAATTTATAAAACCGCAACTGGCTCTGCCAATCACGGTGCGCTGTGAATGAATAAAAATATGTACGTATGTATGTGCATTAGGGTGGTAAAAAAAAAATAATATATGTATATATAAAAAATAATATATGTGTATGCAGATGCGTGCAACTAATTAGCAACGAAATTCAAAACGACATTGCTTGCAAATTATGTTTATTTTTAATAATTTTCATTTAAAATATAATTCAATCTATATCAGAAACCACAATAACAAAGCTTGCACAAATTGCAAAAAAATTAATCAAACTTCAAAAAATTGTCATCAAAATTTCAAAATTTTTAATTAGACTATTTAGAAAATGTTGGGGTATGCAGTTTTGTTTGAACTCATACCTGGGCAGATCAAACGAAGATGTAATCAACGAATGCCCGGCATGCGGAGAGTCGCCCCATGACTCACAGCATCTCTTCGTATGCCCATCCCACCTCGCTAACGCTTCGTTTCCTGGGGCTACCGTTAGTAGAGCTTGACGACAACGATTGAGGGACTAACCGATCTGGGCGGTGTTGTTACAGACGTTACAACAACAACAGCAACAACAAAAATTTCAAACAAATTATCTGTACATACATAGGTGTAACCGGAGAATGTAAACAGACCAAAAAAAAAATGTTTGACTCAGCGGTGTACGGCGAACTTTTTTTTATTTGCTTGTAAGGTGGTACGGTCTAATGTATATAATATATGTAAATATTTTGTAAGGCAATTAAAGCCGACAGAAGCATGTGATCATCATGAACTCCCGCAGCATCCCCTAATGTGACATTTGTGCATAATAATTAGTTGGAAACTTTTTTCTGCTGAATAATTGCGCTGAAAGTGCCGACCTACCGACAGAAAGATCTTTGAATCGAATGTTATTTTGCTAGATATATGTACCTAATAAATATTTAAAAGTCACTTTCAATTCATTGCAAACACCTGCAAATTTGACGGTTGTTTAGTTATGCATTACTATTAAATTGTACTTTAATCATTTCAAGTGAAACGAATGATTCACATAAAGCACGCGCACCAAAGCTGGAAGTCTTTATTGACACATTGTGTCGATTGTTGATTGTCGTGAGCGTATTTGGTATATCGCATTAAGCGTTAATGCATGAGCTGAGATTAACATATGAATTTATTGTCCATGCTGCACGTTCTTCGCCACCCTTTGCGTCTAAAAGACGCATGCAAAAATGGTTTATCTAGAAAAACGAACGGAAAGTGCAAAAAATAACACAATAAGCTGAAAATAAACACAATTCGTTGAAAGCGCAAATTTGGCACATCCAGCAACAAATAAAAAAAAACAAGTGGTACTTGTATAAATTTAGCAATGAAAGATTAAATTTTTTTGCATTTTTCCAAACCAGACGCAATGTATTTACATACATATGTACATAAATAGTACAAACATTAAATTTTGCTAACACCTTGCTGTACACGCCCGAATTTTTGCTGGCATTGGAATTAGCTAAAGGAAATCGAGACCCAATAGCGGCGGATCTCGTCGTCAGAATTCGGCAAGTATGGTTCTTTGCTTCCTCGGGAAAAGTAAACAAAAATATGCACTTGGGCAATTCGTTTTGAATTCTATGAAAAATTATGTAAATAAATATGTAAGTGTGTATGCATATGCACAGTGGTAAAATGCAACAACTCATAAAAAAGGGTGGGCTTACATAAGAGCCGTTAAATGGAGTAGAAGAAGCATTATCGCTAGCATGCTCTGCTGCACTTTTCTCAGCACTAAACACCTTCAAACATCATCATCGGTGTAAAGCCATGACAATAATTTTACTTTTTTCTTCATACTCGCCTACAATCTAAATACAAGCGTAAAAGTACATGAGTCATGGCC